ATGCCTTAAATGCTCAGAGAAATTCGTCCCAGGGTTTCCTACTGATTTCAATGAAGAGAGAGAGAGATATGAGAGGAGTAAATGAGAGATGCCTTAATACATCCCTACTTAGATGCATGCTGTCAAAATGTGACCCTGCATGCGACCCTAGGGTCTCGGCACAAGGGTCGTCTACGTCTCTGACTCAACCTACGATACAAGAAATGCGACCATAACCTTATGATGTAAGAGTTATGGTCACAAGGGTCGCACAAGCTAGAAATCTCTACTTACGGTACATGAAACGCGACATTGGCCTTGCGATGCAAGGGTTGCAGCACAAGGGTCACATGACCTATGCAGAGGCCTGAAGTGTTTCACTCAAAGCCCAATTCAAGGTCTAATTTGCAAGGTTTAAATCCACAACCATAGAAATTAGACATACGAACTTAAACAATGATTATAATCCAGATTAAAACTTGATCAGAATCTAATTAATTACCTTACAACGGGTGTTACAATCAGTCATAATTTATCATTAAGTAACCTACGTAATCAGGTGAATCTTCATGAGACTTTTATTTGGATGCATGTTTATGTAAAAATGTATTTGAAGATGAGAATTATGTGGGACAAATATGTTGTGCATAATATTATTTTATATACATGTTTATGGGCTTTAATACATATATGTAATTTATTATGCGGGTTGCATGCTAGTTGTTTACTGGCTTTAAACGTTATTTAGCATTGTTATAAATGGGTTATTATTTTCAATAGGGTATGGGATTGGGTCGATATGTCATAGGGAAGGCACATCGTTGGAATGGGTGATCGGTCAAGGGAAAGTCGTATAACCCGAGGAATGTCATTATGGTCCTTCCCCAATGGGATAGTATATGATATCCCACTATCAGTTAAATGGTTTTAAAAATGTGCATATTATTTTTATTTGGGATATTTGTTCGTCTTATGCATTATGTGACATGTATGCTTTATGCACGAGACTATGAACTCACTGAGCTTTATAAAGTTGACTATTAGTATATATGCATATCAGGAGCAAGAGGTTCACAGATGGACAAGGTAAGGTTCTCACTTAGAGAATTATATTTTTGTAGATTTTGTGATGTTTAGATTTAATGTTTGAACTCATTTTGTAACATAACCTGGTATTAGACGGGTTAACATTGGGTTATTAGTTTTATTTAAATTTTGTAAGACTTCCACTGTGGCAGGGCTTTATTAGCCATTATGTTTTTGGTTATTTATTGTTATTGAATGAGATGGACATGACACAACTCATGGAAAAAATTGTAAGGGTTGACAAGAAGTATCCAAAATTGTAGTAGTATTCTTGGGGACAAACACAAGTGATTTAGAAACGAGCATGAGTCCAGTGTTAGTCTGGGTATTAAGAGCGTTATGGATCCTGGAGACAACATATGTCAAGGTATTCAGTATGATTAAATGTACAAGGTGTTAGAGAGGATGGGATTAAGAAATATTTTATTGGTGAATCATGTGAATATATTCTTTTGGGTGAAAATGTTACGAGGGTAACAAGATCTAAGTATTGCCTTGATGATTACTCTAGTAGAAAGGCAAGTGGGACATTGAGAATTTAGTTATGATGATGAGAAATATAAGTAATAAAGGGGATTCATAGACTATATGTGAGGGGTTATGGGTTAATGATCAGGTTATATATATCTGACAAGTCAATTCAATAGGGGGTATAAGTGAGAGTTCCATAGAAACATAATTCCAGCATATTATGATTTGAGGGACAAAGTACTAGAGACATTGGGGGAAGTGGTACATGGAATGACGACAAGCTAGTCAGATTTGGCATCATTGTCCATAATATCTATAAGGACTAATCAAAGGTCAGATGTGCTCGTAATGGGATCAATCTTGTAGGGTGGAGAACATGGGATGGGTTAACAAGTGAATAAATTATTGATACTATTAATAGTAATAATAATACTTAAAGTAAGTTTTATATTTAGAAACTTGCTAAGGGAAAATATCATGTATCCATTTCTAGTATGAATACTAGGGGATCGGGCAGTGCAGCTCTAGGGAGCTAAAGGGATGCACATATGGCAATGTTGCTTAATGTGTCATCAAGTCACGACAAGGGTCGTGGTTGAGAGGTAGGTCAATACATGGGTGATGATTGGTTTGATCGAATTCAAACATGCAAAGGGAAGCATGACCAACACATAAGTTTGGTGTGAGGGTTGTTGGCAAGGAAACTTTGCACTAGTCTTCTAAGCATGCATTTAGTTGTGCCAGACATATTTTCTAGGCGTGAGATTTAGTTGGTTTCAACCAACACTAAGATAATAATGGAATTGAGGACACCAAGGTTGGGATTTCAAGTTTGAAGCTCAGGGTTTTAGCTAACTAATATCAGGGTTTTAGGATTTCTCTTTGAAGGTAAGGGTTTGCTTCTCTTGATCCTTTCAATTTAGGGTTTATGGATTTGGGTTTGCATTTGAGTTGTTGATATCAATTTCAAAAGGATATATTCTTCTGGTTTTTGGATTAAAACTTGAACTTTTGATTGAAGTTCAAAACTTTATGATTTGAGCTTTATGAATTCCTCCATTTTTGATAAATCAGTTTTACGAATTGCTCATATAGTCATACTTGGAAGGGTATGATTTTTAACCTTTGATTATATTTGGGTTTCAAAAGAACAATTAGTTGTTGGTTTAACGAAATTTCTATCCAAAGATGAAATTCAATGTTAAACCATCATCTTAAAAACCTGGAATTGATGTGTTGAACAACGAAAAAAGAGGTGAAACGGCTAGTTGCATAGTGGATTGATCTTAGACTTGGTTCTACATGTCGTTGGTACTGAAGAGCATATCATTAAATTGAACACAAATCTAATTATCAGATCATATTCAATAAATCATCTAAAAATGAAGAAAACAAGCATTTTGGACAATTTTTTGCTACAACAGACTCTCCAAAATAGATAAAGTAACAAAGAAAATATAAATTTCTCCACATTTGAAGATTCCTAAAAGAAATTATATTTTTATGAGAGAGAAACAATATTATGTATTTTTTAATTGACTGTTTTTTTAAGAATTTGTTGAAGATACTTTTGTCGAAGTCAACCTTGACCAAAAAGGAGAAGGAAAAAGAAAAAGTAAGATTTGATATGAAATTGTAAAAGCAATGATGGGGGTTAAAAGTTGGTAACAGAGAAAAAGGCGAATGATGATGTGGCAAATCAAACGATACTTGTTTTGTCATTATATTCTATGTTTCCTTGCTTCACGGACCCCCTTCTTTTCCCCCGTACGAACCAGGAGCGTCTCCACCTTTTATCAAATATATATTTTCTATCCTTTTTTTTTATTTTATTTTTAAATTAATATAATTATAAATCATAAATTAAAATATTATCCAAGACTTTTTCTTTTTTAAATTAATATAAATATTTTCCCACTGTTATTTAAAAATATTTTATTAAATTAAATATTAACATATTTCAAAATTTAAAATCAACTTTGGCACCAGTTTTTGCTTTGACTCTAATGACCTTATTTATTGCTACCTGATTTTGTACCATTTGTTTTAAAATTGGTTTCACAAGATTTCATTATTTATGTGTAACGTTTCAATTTAAAAAAACATATTTGATTTGATATATAATTTAATATTTGTATTTAAACTTGATAATTGATTATTTATCGTCTGATACTAACTAACAATACGGTCAAGGGATTAATATATTTAATTAAATTTTATATTAAAAACCAATAAATAAATCTTATTGGTGAAAATTATTAAAATAATAGTTCTTTTGCATCATTAGAGAGTTTTATAGAATTCCCTATATTTAAAGTTTTTTTTATATTTCTCTATTTTAAAAACTATATGATAGAAAATCTCTTGAAAAGAATATAAAGAATAAAAACTTTATTTTGGATTAGAAGGAAGCTTGCATAATATAGCGAGATATATCTCAATTTTAATGTTTTGTTTTGTTATTTATTTATTTATGTTGATATAATACGTTTTTAGAGGTTTTGAGAAAGCGATAATGTTTTTATTTTTGAATAAAATATAAATTTAAATATATCATAAAATTTTAGAAAAAAAAAATATGTCGATATTAATATCAAATTTACTATTTAAAGTTCTGTTTTTTTGTGTAATTCTCTAATTTAATATTTTATTTATAATTTAATTTAAGTTTAATAACGAAGTAATTTATTTATCGTTCAATAATATAATTTTATAAAGATAATAATTAAGTATTTTGTTGTAACTAATGATTATCCTAATTATATTCTAGATTTTTTATATTTAAAATGAGATGTCTATTCCGTATTTGATTATATTTATTTATAGTTAGTTGTACAAATTCAAAAATGAAGCTTTAATAAGTTGTACTTATGCATAATTTACCTATAATCTTGAATTTTAAGTAATATGCATTACTAAACAATTTTGTATGCATAAAAAATTGTTTTTAAGAATTTTTATTAAATGTTTTTTAAAGAGAAATTATTCCCTTTTGATTTTGTTAGCGTTTTAGTTTAAATAATGAAATTATTGGAGAAAATAATTGGTTGACTTTTTTGGCATTTAACAGAAAATCTTAATTTCAAAATAATACCGTCATATAATTAATTGTCTAAAATGTTTTAATAAAAATAAAAAAATATATTAAATCATATTTTGTCATATTAATATATTTGTGAGCGTGGGTCCTACATTTTGAAAATGGAGTGGGAAGGGGGTTGTTCTCGGCGCTACATTAAACAACGGACGCATATAGAGACAGACGCATGTATGTATCGATTTTGAGCTTCACGAAAATATCGCCGTTGGCTTCGACAATCCTCATTCTCTAATCTCTCCTAATATCACATTTAGGGTTTCATCATCTCTCCAACCAGGGCTTTGAATGGTTTAATCTGCATTCCTCCTCCTCCTCCGTCTCCACTGATTTCGTTTCAACCACGTTTACAAGCATAACATAAACGATGGATGAAGAAATGGAGTTTATGGAGGATTTCGTTGTAGATGATTCATCATCGTTTTCGGACGATTTTTTTGATCCAGAATACGAATTTGATGCTTTTCAGTTCTATGATTTTTCTAGAGTTGAAACGGAGTCCGAGGCGCGAGAAGCCGAAACCTGGTTCAGATACGCTCGTGAATATCCTCCTTCTCGTAAGCGTTCCCATACCTGATCGTATTCGTTTGCTTGATTCTGTTGATTATAGTTTTTCTATTTCGATTCCGACGCTGCAGAGATATTAATTTATGCTTGTTTATTGACTTTCGTGATCGTTTTAACTAAATTACATAGCTGATGATCTTAGAGTAAATTACGTTTTTAGTCCCTGTGGTTTTAAAAATAACCAATTGTATCCATCATTACGGTTTGCAATGCATTTCTATTTTCGTGGCAGGCCAAAACATTATTTTTAAGTATAAAAGACATTGTAAACCGTAGAAACCAAAAAAGCAATGAATTATACATTATAGGGATGAAAATAGAAATTTTCAACAAACCAAGGGACTAAAAACGTAATTTACTCATGGTTTTATGATCCCCGGTCTTGTTTGTGCCTTGTGCATTTAACATTTGCTGTTATTCAACAATCGGTATCGAGTTAACAATATGGTTGTTAATGGTGTTTGCATTACGAGATCGCAAAACGATTCTCGCAATATTCGGTCTTTCATTCTCTTTTTCTAACTGACACTCACTTGTAGATCTTCTCTAATCTGCCAATATGATTTTACCTGGATGATTCAGCTTTTATTGTGAAGTTAAAGTTGATGAAGGCAGCCAAAGTCATTCCTGCGAAACCTCATAAATCCAGCTCCAGAAAAATAGAAGCTAGTCGAAACACTAGCACATCCAGCGTTTCAGATGCTGACACTGATCATGGATCCCCCTCAAGAGATGGGAAAATCAAAGGTAAACATGTCCATAGAAAAAATAGAGTCCCATTCGTTAACTTTACAATTTGTATCGACAATCTTTCCCACATATTCCACCAATTCAGTAATGACATAGTTGAAGACTTAATCTTAATTTAAGAGGCGGTTCAGAACCTTACTAGAAAAGAAAGTCTTCATTGAGCTGAAGGAAGTTTCATTTATTTATCAATAAGTCATGCTAGTTTATGTTTCATAAGGTGTCTGTTTAAATCTTTTCAGATGCACACTTCCATAATGTACAAATTTCACTTCATAGCTTTAATGTCTTGAACAAAAAGTTCTATTAGGGGCACAGAACCAATTTGGTAAGCTTGAGTCATTTTCATTTCGGATCGCTTTTTTTGCTTTAATGCACATTAATATTTAAAGATACATGTTCTCTGAATTCAATTTTGATCCTGAGTTTTATTCCATCTGTTTTTGGTTTAATTGTTTTATTCATTCAACTGGTTCAGGTGTAAAGCAGCATAATCTTATGCGTCAAGATAGTGTGAAAGCTAAGCCGAAGTCCACAGTCAACTTGTCTAAACCAAGTGGTTCATCGTTCATGAAACCTACTGCTAGTCATTTAGCCAAGCAAAATAAGGAGTGTGAAATACATTATGGCGGTTGTGGAAGGTTTTAACCTTGATTCTGGTCTTGTAAAGTTATCTCATGTGTTTGTATAAATAGATTCATGTGTCGTTTGTTCTGATTCTATTTCATCAAGTGCTTTTATTCTTCCACTTCCCTTACCCTTCTTTTGCCATTTGTTAACTTGTAGGTTGCAGAAGCCATTAGTTACTGCAGTTGAAAAGTTACGATCTCCTACGAGATGTCAAAACTATGCCACCAAAAGACAGAAGCTAGAAATTGGTTATTTGCGTAAGGTGCACATCCATCTTTAAAGTTTCAGTAGCTTTATGATTGGGAACGTTAACCTTGACAGACTTTAAATCTTATGTGAAAGTAAATGTTACATAGGGAATTCATATTAATTTCTTTCCAAGTTTAGAAGTGAGACTTCTTTCTTCCTCATGGAATTGGCTTAGTACGGAAGTGTGGTGTGGGTCTTTTCTTTAGGAACAATTCTAGTATGTGTTTTCAAGCCAGAAATTCGTTCGCTATAACTTCTACAGGACCCTAATTTTCTTCATCTTGTAAGTAGGTTGCACAATTAAAGCACCGGGCTTCATTCTTGCACAAGATTGTCAAGAAGGTAAAGTAATTCACCACAGAAGAACAATCTCAGCTCCTATTTTTCAGTACTTGCCTTTACTTCTTGCCACCAAACAAAAAAATGCATAAAGTAACTAAGCTGGCAAATCATTGTTGTTCATAGGTTGCACAATTGGAAGGCAACTCAAATTCTAGATCTAAAACTACTATTCCCCGAAAACCTGCATTGGTAACAGAAGAGAGAGCGCAAAGGCGTAGGTACTATTTTTCAGCATTTGTGCTACTTATATTGTATGCCATTCTGCAAAATAGCGATATTTGGCTACTTTTTCTTGACATCCATCTTTCCTTTTTCACGTTTAGGTCCCAGAATAAATCTGAATCAGTTCAACAACCAAAAGCAAATACTCCTGGATTTAAAGCACGACCGTTGAACAGAAAAGTTGGTACTTGGAATAAATTATGTATCTTTTTAAATATCGGTTCCACGAGTAATCCATCTTATTTGCTACGTGGCAGATTCTCAGCTCTCCTAAATGTCCCCAACGTAAGAAAAGCATGACTCCGTTAACAGAGTTTCAAGTAAGTTAAAAGATTCAAAGAGTTGCAAGTAACTGAGTTTTGATGGATGTCATATCTCATGACTACTTTGTACAACAGGAGTTTCACTTGAAGACCACAGCGCGAGCAATGCAAGTTCAATCTGCTAATGTAGGCAATCAAGTTGGCGTTAAATTACCATGAGAATGTATATTTATCTTTACCCTTTTTAAACTGTCTTCTTTTCAGGCACTATATAAACAGAATTCTGCTCCTCCAGTATGTGAAGATATAGTCATCAAGAGGTCAGAAAACTTGAATTGTGGACATTTTATTTGAGAATTTTAGTACACTGCAGTTGAATCCGGATTGATTTCTTGCTTGCAGCCAAAACTCTGGAAAGAAGGATAAATGCAAATCGCCAAATAATTCAAAAGCTCGAACTCCTGATAAGGTGCAGACGACTTCACAAGCTTACTTATTTGAGTTAGTATATATGCTATTCTGGTAAGCCGTTTAGCTTATGGCACAGGTACACCAAATGAAAGATGGAGGACTTGTACTAAATGCAAAGCACAACTCACAACTGCCGATAGAGTTATTTAAAAAGGTATCTGAGTTCCCTATATAATCAGTACTTACGGTTTATCATTCCTCTTGTAGATCACATCTGTGTCGTTATTATGTTTGGCAGCTCTCTTTAAAATCTGAATCCGAGACAAAAATTATATCCTCATTAAAACCACCTCGTCTAAGCAAGGTCAGTTTGGTATATAAGATGATATTTTTGTCCTATACAAAGCATTGCTGATGCTGATTATTTTGTTTTTGTTTTTGTGTGGGTTTAGGCGTTGAAAGAGAATGCACCTAGACCTTCCCAGCAGGAGTTTAGGGTATATGTGTTGAAGCAAATATGATGTGTTGTTATAGTTTTGAAATTGATGATTAACTGTGTGCAAGTGTAACAGAGGTGTGGTGGGAAGCCAAATCAGTGTGGAAGCGATAGGAGGATCACTGAAGTTAAACCGCAGCCCAACATCAACAGGTAGGTTACTTAGTGATGAGATGTTATTTTGATCTTTAACCTGAAAATGGTTTTGAATTTTTATCAGGAGCGTGGATATCCGTTGAAGGTTATGAGGAATGAGGGATGAAGACATTCCAAACACGTATAGACTGATTGGATTTGTAACTACTAAAAAGAACACTAACAACCATAACCAAAAGGAGATCCATCCCCAATTGCCCATTATTTCTTTATTCATTGGTGGTGTATTTCAATAAATGTTTATCCAAATTGTAGAAAGAAATATATATATATATATATATAATGTTGAGTGAATTTTATGCATGTATTTCGGAATTATACAAAGTCAAACAGCAATATCGAATATCATAAATAAAGACTTTGGTTCCTAATTCTGAAATCCAACTTGTTCGTACCAAAAAGACGGAACACATAATAAATCTCCCTGTTCCCAAAAACATATATATACCACTAATACAACTAAAACGTATTATTAGACACGAGTTCACGGAACCTGAAAAACCACTGAGCATCAGATGAATTCTCAACCCCCTGCTGCTGCTGCTGCTGCTTATCTCCTCCCATCACAAACTGTGTATATCCCATGCCTTTCTCTTTCTCAGGTGCCAAATTTTTTGTAACTGGAGCAGCTGGCAACAACGACTGCAGGATTCGTGCAACCTCATGCATTGTCGGTCGCTCAGATGGCTGTTTTCTTGTGCATAACAATGCCAGCTGAAAGGTCTTTCGAACATGAGATAGATCCATACATGTAACAGAAACTTCTGGATCAACAGCTTCCATCACCGTATTATCATCTGCCTTCAACAATATCTGAAACAACATTTTTATTAACAACTCAACCATCTCATATCACAAGAGATTATTTGGAGATTAGGTTTAGTTTCTACTAACCAGTTGATGCAAATTAGACTCGTTGTCAACCGCTTTCTTCCCTGTCAGTAGCTCCAACAGAACGATACCAAAACTATAAACATCTGATTTTTCAGTAAGTCGAGACGTCCTCGCATACTCAGGGTCTATGTATCCAATTGTCCCAAGAACGTACGTTGATGCATAAGTTTTTGTGGTTGGGAGAGACTTTGCTATCCCAAAATCAGAGAGATGAGCCACAAAATTCTCATCCAGTAATATATTTGATGATTTCACATCTCTGTGAATGATTCTAGGGCTGCAATCATGGTGAAGATAAGCTAACCCTTGAGCAGCCCCAACTGCAATCTTATGACGAGTTTCCCAATCAAGTTTCACCTTCTTCGATGGTCCTAATGAGAAGAAACATTTAAAACTAATAACTAAATATCAACAAGAAAAGCCTCTGATTCAAAAGTGTGTGTGTATTCAACTGTACTCACCATGAAGAAGATCCCAAAGAGAACCATTTTGCATGTAGTCATAGAAGAGGAGGTTTCCAGTGGGTGATAGGGAATAGCCATGCAAACTAACAAGGTTTCTGTGCCTGATGCTGCCAATCGTCTCAAGTTCGGTCTCAAACTCTTGAAAGTTGTGCTGGTACTGTGTGTAAAGCCGCTTGATTGCAATAGGCCGGGAATTCTTTAAAGCGCACTTGTAAACAGTGCTTGAAGAACCATATCCAATAATATACTTCTCGTTGAAATTCTCGGTGATTCGCAAGATATCATCATATGTATGAATTGCCATATCCATGTGAAGGACTACAAGTTTCGGAGGGCCTGCAAGAAACACTAGTTATGAGTTATAACCAACTATGTACAAGTTCATGAGAAGAGAACAGAAAATGACAAACCTTGCAATCCCTTGCTTGGTTCCTTTATATACTGCCGAGATTTGTTTGATTTTAAAATAGCCAATGCGACCATGGCAAGTAGTATCACAAAGCCTAATGTCATGCAAACAATGGCTGTCCCGGAGAACCGAGCTGCAGCAGAGAAGATAAAGCATTCCTTTAGTTTGCAGCTTAATTTTAACAGACAGAAGAAGATGAGATTTAAACAGATACCTCTTGGTTTTGGTGAATATGGGTCACATATGGAACCTAACCAGTTCCCACATAACAATGGATTTCCAAGAAAGCTGGAGGGCCATAGTTAAAAAAATATTACGAGGACAGCTCAACAAACGACTTCAAAAAATAAAATGAGGAGCATGTAAAAGCTATAGAACAATACCTATCTGGTGCAAACCGGGAAAAAATTCGACCAGGAGGCAGCACGCCAGAAATGTTGTTGTAAGAAATATTGCTGATGTGCATGAGAAGGGATTATTGCAGGAATGAATCACCAAGAATATGAAATGAATGGAACAAAACTTACAGGTTAGCAAGGCTGAAACAATTGGATAATTGGTTAGGGATCTCTCCATTCAGATTGTTATCATTAATGATTCTGCAAATAATATGATAAAATCCGGTAAACAGATAATAAAATATATATTAACAGGGTAGTGCAACCAGCAGGTACCCACTTTTTGCAATAAATTTTAGAGTTAATAATGGAAAGAAGAAAATTGGCTTACAGAGATATGATGTTCTGCAACTGGCCCATCTCTGCTGGTATGGCCTCATGGAGCTTGTTGAATGACATGTCACTACCAAAACAACAAAAGTACTACTAAGGTACAGTTTTTAGCAAAACGAAGTACAACTGGAGGCAAAGTAAAAACACTTACATAATTTGGACACTTCTGAGATTCCCAAATTCCTGAGGTATTGGACCCTCAAGGTGATTACGGCTCAAATTCCTTTGCACAAACAAATAAGAAAGATTTAAGTTGTGTACAACAATGAATTATTTAGAAGTGTCAAATGACGCAATCGATTGCTTACAGAGAAAGAAGATGCTCCAAATCTCCAATAGATGCAGGAACAGGTCCAGAGAAATGATTGCTTGAAAGATCCCTTGATAATGTAATATGCAGAAAATTAGATAGATAACAGCATATAAATAGAGCAACATAATATTTAACACACAAACTCACAATGTATCTAGATTAACTATCCTCCCCAGCTGAAACGGTATAGTTCCCTTAAATTTATTCGATGAAAGATTTCTGCGGTAAAGAAGGCAACATTTGTGACACATTGATAATAGATAAAATCCAGATGTAAGCTATTACAAGACTAAATAAGAAAGAAATAGCACATACAAATAAGTTAGGCTCTCTAAATTGCGGAAGCCTGAGGGAATGGAGCCGTTCAGGAAGTTTCCATGCACATTGCTGTAAGAGTAGTGATTCAATACAAATTTGATCATTGTGACCGTTAACAAATTAAGTTGCATAACAAAACGGTTTTAGATATGCTATTACAGAACAATACTTACAGTTGATTTAAAGCAGTGCAAGAACTGATGCGTTCAGGTATAGGTCCCTCAAGATTGTTGCGTGCAAGGTTCCTAGGAAACCGTGATTAGCCAATTTTAGTTACACAAATATAAGAATGTATTCATGTAAGAGTTCAGAATTAAGGACTCACAGTTCAAAAAGCTGATCCAGATTCCCTAGTTCAGCAGGAATACCACCAGTCAGTTGGTTATTGTTTAACTGCCTGAAAGATTAACAAGCATCCCCAGCTTAGTTCAATGAAATAAGACTTGGGAATCTAAAATTGCAAGACTGAAGACTTTCACTTACAAATAGCTAAGCTTAGTCATGTTGCCAAGCTCTGGTGGAATAGGCCCTGTGAGTCGATTCCCATGAAGGTACCTATGGCAATAGACAAATGGGTGAACAAAAAAATTACAGACACCCTGGTCCATCACACTAGAAGACAACTTACAGTTTCCCAGTGAAAGATAAGTTGCCAAAGATTGGAGGAATTGATCCAACTAGTTCATTCTCGCTTAGATCCCTGGCAAGGGAGGTAAAAATCAAAAAATTGCATGACAAAAAAAAAAGGATATGTTGCTTTTGCACAATGATAGAAAATCCTTACAAAACAGCAAGTGCTTGCATAAGACCAATGACTTCTGGAATTTTTCCTGTCAGCTTGTTACCCTGAAGAGATCTAAAGAACCAGGAAGTATACAGTATACACCATGATCAGTCATCTCCAGCAGAAATAATTTGGTAAAAAATAGTGTAAATCATGGCCTCATAGCCTCCCAAAAGATATTTGGGACAAGGGGAACTCACAAGGTAGCCACTTGTAGAAACCCAATATTGTATGGGATTTCACCAGTGATCTGATTGTAAGAGATGTCTCTGCAGATTAAACAAATTCAGTTCAAATGAAAAAACAAAGAATATTACTGGTAACCACCAAAATCAATTAAATGATACTCACAATATCTCAAAGCTTGTACAGTTACCAATGCTGTCTGGAATGGTGCCAGTTAAGTTATTCCCCCGAACATCACTGAACAAGTGACTAGAAGTTAGACACAAGACTAGATAAGAACTCAAAAGGCCATTATCAAAATAGAAGTAGACATACAAATACCAAAGGCCAGTCAACTGGCACATATCAGCAGACAGAGTGCCAGTTAAGGAATTGCCTCGCAAGCCACTGTAAAAACAAGTCCAACATGTTAAGAATATGCTTATATAAAAATGATTGAAAATAACATGTATTCATCTGGAATGGGGTTACTAGAACTTACAGATACTGCAATACTTCGTTCCAGTATATCAATCTTGGTATCACACCCGTCAGCTGATTTTGAGCCAAATCACTAAACAAATAATATCAAGAATTGTAAAGATAGATGTTTGCAATATTTCAAATATTATAGTGGCAGAACACACAAAAAAAGGCATGAGGGAGCAGACTAAGTATCTTTCATTAGGTTCTGGATCTAAAAAGACGACATTCATGGGAAAAGTATAAGAGAACAATGGAACTTACAGTGTCTTAAGATTAGGAATTTGAGTTAATGTTGTGGGGATGGGACCTGTGATTTGGTTGTTCTTCAGGTTTCTGTTATCAGGGAGATTAAAAAATAACTCTTTAGTTAACAAGAGATGAGTTTAAAGTTAAACTAAATCTTTAGGCATTACTCAGGTCAAACTCACAAGAGTTCAAGCTGCTTCAGCTTAGAAATGGAGAAGGGTATATCCCCGTACAGCATATTGTCAGACAAGTCGCTGCAATGGCAAACATAATCATAACACAAAACGCTTAAACATCAAGCATTTTCAATTCTTCACGAATTTTAGAAAAAATTAGGAGAGTTTACAGTAGCTCTAGAGAAACACAGCTGCCAATTTCATCCGGTATTTGACCAGTAAGCTTATTTCCCTGCAAATCTCTGTCGTCATTAAAAAGAAGCCATCAGAACGGTTTCACCGTGAAACAAAAACCGGTACATTAAAATAACAGGAATTACGTACACAGACTGCAGATTCCTCAAGTCCCCGATCGAGGGAGAAATTTCCCCACCAAGATCTAAATTTGACAGATTCCTGTACCGTGAAATCAAATCAATAAATAAAACAAAAGAAAATCACGGCAAATTAAGCGAAATAAAACAAGTTTTAAGAGGGAGCAACATACAAAGCAACGACAGTCGTGCTGATATTGTCACACAGAATCCCTCTCCAAGAACAGAAATCATCGTTCTGATCTTCGTCCCAATCCAGTAACACATTAACGACATTGCTAAACGACGCCTTAATAGATATTAATGCTTTCCCTACACATAACAATTCAAAACAATACTAAAAATTCTCAAGACCAGTACGATGACAAGTGACAACTCACCAATTTAGAAACAGAGTAAATCAGATAAAAATATATATGTTTAAACAGTTAACAAAAATTTAGAAAATTAAAAATGGTAAACGAAAATTTAAGGTGATGTTATAATCTCTTCGTATTCTGTCGTTTTGCGATCGTTTTACTCCGAAGCTGTTTTCGGAACTCTCTCATGCTTATGCATACAGTAGAACCGCATATTTCTTCCAATCGTTTTCTGAGCATATCAACCTTCAGCTTTCCAAAAAACATAAAAACAGCAGATAAACTCGACTCCCAATATCACTCAGAATATCTCTCAGAATATGTTTATTCTATGTTCTACAAACACATATACATACATATGAAAACAATTCCAATTTTGAAGGCGTAAAACAACAATTTACACATGTACATGTATCAAAAAACATGTTAACACATCCTTGATCCTATATCACTTGCGAAAAACAATCACAATAGCAAATAATTTACCTTCGTCGCTGAGAGACATCGTACACGGAAACTGTAACACCAAAAACGCCAGTAAAACATAAAGCGCAAGCTCCTTGTTAGTCGAAAACGCTATATTCTTCGCCATCATTGAATCCGAGAACAATGTAAAGCAGTAGTTTCTTCCTTGACACCAAATAGAAGAATCAAAATGAGCTCAAATTTAGGCGTTCATGGAGTAGCAGTGAGGAGGCCATAACAGTAGTGAGAATGTGAGAGAGAGAGAGAGAGAGAGAGAGAGAGAGAGAGAGAGAGTTGAAGAATGAAATGAAGAGAGAACAGGCGTTTGGCGTGAACTGTAAGGCAGAGAGAGAGAGAGGTGTTAATGGTGAATTCAGTTGGTTATGAAGAGAGAGAGAGGGGGTAAACGGCGGTGAATGGACGTTAGTAAATGGAGGTGTTGGGAAAAAGAAGAAAAGTGGCAGCGGCCGTCACTGCCCGTACTGCCGTTTCCCTAACTGGTTACATTTTGCGACAGCGTCCTTATCCTACGCTTTACCACGCGCTACCAATTTTCAATTCCTGTTATATCTTTTTTTCTTTTTTAAGAAATTGGTCAAAATAGTTTATATCACATAAATTGGTTTTTTCATCGTTATCTTCTTGATTTACCCAAAATATCCCTACCTTGGTCATAGTTACAGACCTAATTAAAAGACAAAAAAAAAAAAAAAAAACTTAAATCATAGTTAATTGTGGATCTGAGTCAAATCTGATAAAATAAATTTGTCTTTTACCTGGGTCTGCAAGTAGCGGACTTGGGACTTGCAAACGTAGTAATATTTGAATAAATCATGAAAAAAAAAAACCAATTTATATAATAAAATGACTATTTTGACCTTTGGAATGGTAATATTTGAGACTTTTGATTTTGTCAAGCAAAGACTTTTGATGTTCTCGTCTTGAAGCCATTGGTTTCTGTCAAATGAAAAGTTTTGATGAAACTTAACAACGGTGATACATGGTTTACTTTGTGTGTCTCTCCATTCAGTGTAAACATGTCTCCATTGTAACTTAAAGGTGTTTTTGGATGTAGAGTTCCTATGTTTTCAGAGTCCGTGTGGGTATGAAGTATTATCCATATATTGCGGTTTGACGTACTAAACCTTACCCATGTTATGGCTTTTTGTATAATAGACATTATTTGAATATTAAACCTTATTCATGTTTTGTTTTAATATTAGGTTTTGGTTTCATGCTAAATGGGTGTTTTGATCACCGAGCTTTCATCACGTTTGAATGGTTTTTTTTTTTTTTTAAATATGTTGCTTTTATATTTAGTACATTTCATTTTGTAAATTGTGATTTAAATAACATTTTTTACATTTACCGTTTATATTAAAGATGAAAATTGTTTAAGTTCACTAGGCGTTAAGTCTAACCCTTTGTATTTGTCGGCATGTGCATCAGGTCTTCGATGGGAATTGGTACTAACGACATTTGTGTTGAGTTAACGACATTAGTTAAAGACACGAAAACAAATTAGTTAATTGGAGACTCTATACCTTGGAGATAGTGACAATTAATGGGTTTTAGTAACATCTGTACTAATATATACCTAATGTAAAGTTGGAATTATTATTTGTTGATGGAGATATTAGATCGACATGATAGGTGATCAAGTGTTGACATATAGAAAATGAAATATCAATGAAAACTTTAGAAATTCTTATTCTTCTTTGGCGACAGGGAAGGCTCCGTAACAAATGGTCCATTTATTGATGGGGTGAACGACGTGGATTGAACCCCAGGTACCTATAATTGTGATCTGTTTTGCAGATGTTGGGTGTTGAAAGTGATGTGTTGTTAGCCACGATGGCCATGGATATATGTCCGAGAGTGATGAATCCCCATGAAGAGAGGACTATTGAATTCCTCCTAGCTTTATTGCGAGCCAAAAATCTTGAGAAATTTCCCTTCACTTTAATTGCAGACGCGCATCCTTTCCCATTCGCGTCTTAAAGAGCGTACTTAACACCAACCCCGAGCAAGCACCCACGTTTATTTACCCTAGTTACCAAGCCTTCACCAGTGGCTCATAATCTTCCACTTTGCACCTTGCGGTCGAGTGGCTTCGCTCTTATACTAGAACCCAAACCCTAACGATGGCCAAGAAAGAAGTCTTTCTCATATGGGCAGAAATAATTTTTGTAACTTAGCTGATATTTCCAAATTTGAGGATGTTACAATTTACGTATTTTTTTTTAATATTGCTATGTAAGGGCCGAATGATAGATCAATTGATTTAAAGTTTACCATTAAGCGAAATCGAGGTCATAGTAAAAGAGAGTCGACGACTTAGGACCAAATTAAGGCATAATGTTCTAAGGGGTTAATGTCTAGTGCGAGAGAGGAATAGGGTGGAAGATCTTGTTGCTTAAGGTTTGCAAGCGTGATGGTGCTTACCCTTAGGGAATGTTTCTTTGTGGCGCGTGTTAGGGGTAGGTTGGTGAAACGGTAATGCTGTAACGTTTCATTTGCTCTTAAGATCCCACATACCTTGAGGTGGGGTTGCCATGCTTTTGGTATCGATGATAGATGCATACAATGTTATTTTTCTGGTGTATTATGACTTTTGGTATCGGTGATAGATGCATACTGTTGGTGTATGCGGAAGAGTGTTAGTAGTGGAAGGGGTTGGCACTGCCTAGGTTGTCTTTTGCGATGAGTTGATTGTTTTGGACGGATTTCATACTCGGAGTTTTTGTGTTAATTAAAAGTGATTAACCTTTGACCGTTGAGAATGAGGAAACGTCTACGAGTCGAAAAATTCCTTTTCACCTAGTTAGCAGAAAGATGTGTCGGAAATCAGGGTTTGAAGTGTCCGTAAACCGACATATGGATTAAAACATGTGTGTTTATTGTCTTACTATATATAAACACGTTATGACTTATGACATGTATGTTGAAAAGTCAATGGCTTTAAACTTTTTTTATTTGTTTATAATTACAATAAAAAAAAGTAAGAAAAAAACGTATAATGAAATTAATGAAAGTGAGACGCGCCATGGATGCGAGTGGTGGAGGTTTTAGTAGAGAGGGATCATGCCTCGTACTGGAGAACAGAGGTAGGATTGGACTCTGGTTTGCTTGGTTAATGCTTTTACAAGAACTAATTTAAATCTATTTCAGGCCTTAATTTTTTAATTATATATATATATATATATGGTTGGGTTCACATGAGACCAGATTATTTTTGTGAGACCTATGAGATCACTGTTTTACACTTGAAACTTCATAACAAAACATTGTGAAGGTAAAAAAATCCGAATCTTCATAACAAAAACATTGTGAAGATTACCATTACAATGTTTCAATGTGAAATTTCAAGTGTAAAAAAATTGGTCTCACGGGTCTCTTTAAAACAGGTCTCACGTGTTCCCAAGTATATATATATATATATAGTTTTGGGTTTACGTGAGACAATGCTGTTTTCGTGAGACCACTTTTTACCATTTGAAACTTCACATCAAAACATTGTGAAGATAAAAAAAATTTGAACCTTTACAGCAAAAACTCTATGAAATTTAAGTGTAGAAAAATGGTATCACGAAAACATGTTGGTCTCACGTGATCTCAAGTCTCTCTCTCTCTCTCTCTATATATATATATATATATCTTATATATTATAGAATAGATTACATAAAATAACATGGATATATTTTAGGAATCATTAACCAAACTCTTACCCAGCAGACGTTTACCAGTAAGATATTACGGACATATAAAAAGATTGAAGATCGACAATATCTTGAGCAACATTAACGTAATATGTATTATGTTGTATTATAAATTTCGATCATAGTCACTAGCTAATTATAGTGATTTATGCGTCGTTTATAAACGCTAATTATATGACCGTTTATCAGGCAAGAGTCTTCATTTTTTTACTGACCTTACTTAGTAAGATTATCGGGTCTCAAACTGACAAAACGAGATTGTTGGTAAACATATCTTATTGGGTTGACACTAAATGGATAAAAGACGCCACCTTCATTTACCAACTAAGGCGTCGTTTACTAAACACTTATCTAGTAGACTCTTTGCTAACAACCCTTCTGATTCCCTTGGGATTGTAGTTCAATAGGCAAGAACACCGCCCTGTTAAGGCGGACGTTTTGGGTTCAAGCCCCGTTTGTCTTGATGGATCCAATAAGTACATCAATTTGCCTCTCCATTTTCTGTGAAATAAGGGACAGAGAGCATAATTACCACCCCAATTACTTTATCATTGGATATTCTTGGCCATCAAAATGAAGCGTTGGTAAATGTCTCTTATCCAATAAACGTTTATCGGGTTAAAGTTTTCTTTTTCACTTACCAGGTAAGATTTTCGATGTTTGTTATGTATCTTACCAAGTAAGATTATTTGTTCTTGTTATGCACACCCGATAAGGTAAATGACACTCAATAAATGCCCCTTAAGATTTTTGGTTTTTGTTATACTCAATCACTAAAATAAGTTGTCTCATAAATGTTTACCTTGTCATCATTATTAGTTTTTGAAAAAAATAGCATATGGTTATACAGAGATATATCAATTAATTAGTTTGTATTATTTGTAACCACAAAATACTTTTTATTTAAAAATGTCTTTCTATAAATATATATATATATATATATATATATATATATCATGGCAGTAAATGGTAAAAGCAACACATGTCACCAATTAATATTAGTTAACATCAAAGAGGGTTGGTGATGCATAAATAACCATTATGGCAAACCCACAAAATTGACAAGTGACAACGTTCATCCCACTTCCATAACTAGATCTACAACCAAATCTACACTTTTTTTTTATTTTTCTTTCACTTAAATTTGTTTTTTCACAAGATTTCGTCTTTCGGATTTACTCAAATGTCACTATTTACATAAGTCATGTCTCTTCTATCTACGAACCTAATTAAAAGACAAAAAAAATCATATTTAATTTAGATCCGTAATTACGACAGTACCCAAGTTGAATTTGAATTATTTGTTTTAGTTAGGTCCGCAAGTTGAAGAAGTGTCATTTATGAAAGTTATGATATAAGAGAAATGATTAAAAAGCCAATTTACTTGACACTTTATTTATTTTTTTAA